CACTTTGTAGTATTTTTTTTTTGCTATATATAAATGCGATGCTTAAACTAAAAAGAGAGAATATTGCAAATTAAACTACTTTCTATAATAACTAATTACAGTCAATACTGTCTAGTTTCATATACTCTCTAAATGCTTATTGTCTATATACATAAAAGTTTCTGACAGATGGCATAAATCTGAATCTATAAGAAATATTCTAAGTAACTTATGCCCAAACGCAAAGCTAAATATTATGTATAAATATTGCTCTCCCAATTCTAGACGTAATGCTGCCCTGTGTATAATACTACAGTAGAAATCTGTAATTTTGTGACCTCACTAACCAAATAAAGAAGTTAATTAATTCTCATAGTTGAATATGAAAATAAAACCATGAAAATTAATAAATCCAAAAAAGAGAATTGGCTTAGATTATATGTATAAAATTTAGTAAAAAAAATAATAATTTATTCAAAATCATAGATTCTTCGCTATTTAATATAGCTATATGCATATAGCCTTCATATTTCTGATATAGCCTAGATTTAAAGCCACTAACCAAAAAAATAAACTAATAAAATTTATAGTCACAGATAAAAAATTCTAAATTCTAGATACGAAGAATCAAATAATTCTAAATAGAGTAGATATATTAAAGGCTATACAAAAGTGAAACTTAGTAATCTTTGGATTCATGTGAAAAGAAAGTTAAAGAAATAATTAGCATAGGTAAAATTAAGAAAAAAAGAAAAAGTATCTTCCATTTATAAAATCCAAGCCTCAAATTACTATAAGGTTCTATAATTCTTTATTGATTTTAAAAGATAAAATAGATATAGTAAAATGTAATAGTAAATATTATAAAAAAAGTATAAAAAGATATTAGTAAAGATATTTCAAATGCAATTTATTAATAACTCAAAGTTTTATTTACTTACTCTATTGATAAATTTTTTGAATTACTTTGTTGCTGAATTAGGTTTGTTAATTGCATCCAAGTTGTAAATTTCGAGTTACTTTTTGGTAACTTTTTCTAGTTTTTTCGTTAGTCCTTTTTGAAAAGTAGTAAAATCGCACTTTTTTTTTTATCTATATCACTATTCATAATCTCTTCATATTATAGTATTAAATAAAAAAAACCTTTTTAGATAAATAGAAGATAACATTGACCCAGAAGCTGAATTAAAAAAAATAATAAAAGATAGTAATATCCTAATTGCAGAAACTTTACAAGAACTAATCAATGATAAATCTAATAGCAGTAATACTAAAATACAAGAAATTATAAACATACTAATTAATCATACACAAACCCATTTTAATACACAATTATTATATGTTTTTGAAGAAAAGAATAGTTTTCTTAAATTTGTATTGCTTTCTAATACCTATCATGACTAGAAAAAAAGAAGAGAAAAAGTCTAAGAATATTAATTTTATAAAAAAAAATAGAACTTATATAAATAAAAATGAAAAAAACTCTTGGTCAGAATATTATTCTTGTTCAGTACAGGTAGTAAACATATACAAAATGATCATGTAAAAGAGAAAGTCTCAAACAAAAAATATTAAATTTAAAAAGAGTCTAAAAAAGTTGGTTGTGAGTGCACTTTACGAGCTTATTATAACCCATCTAATTTTCTTGATATGGTTGTAATGTATTATTGATATAAGCATAATAGACATATGCTTGGTAGTCATAGTGATGTTAAATATTTAAAAAAGTCAGAAAAAATTATTGATGAAATCAAAAAATTTGCTTGACAAGAACTCTCTCTCACAGCAATTCGCCAGCTAATGAAAATATCCACAGAAATAACAGAAAAGTTTGTTTTGTTATCTTTTTTTTTTTTTTTTTGTAATAATTGTCGTAGCTGATGCTAAAAACGGCTGATGCTGAAATTTGGGGTCTCGATTTAAAAATATAAGCCCTGCTAAAACCTACATGTACTTGTTAATTATCAATTCTAACCCTAAACACTAACTCAACTATAAAAAAAAAGCAGGGAAAAAACACACTAAAAAATTTTTAAAAATTCATATCAAAATAGATCTGAAATTCAGCATCAGCCATTTTCAGCATCAGCTGCGACAATAATTATAAATTTAAATAACTTCTATATATATTTAGATATTTTACCTCAAGCGATATTGTTCCAAACAAAGATGAGTTATTAATCTATGATGACATATATAATATTATATATAAAGAAATTCATTTGAAGTATCAATACGATAATTATAATATGAAAAGTATTCGATAGTGGGCTAATATTTTGGAAGAAAATAAAAAAATACCTGGTAATTTAAATAATCCTGTTCTTTTATAGTTTCAAGTTCCCGATAGTAATCAAAAGTTTTACATAAATATTTAAAATCAACTCTTTCTGCTGATCAACAATTTTAAAATCGCAAAAAACAAGAAATAAAGATTTTATCAACAACTAACATAGAAAACATCTTTTGCGGTATTAAGGAAAAGGATTTAGCACAAAAAGATACCTCAAGTCTCTTAATACAGAAACTTGAAAGCAAACCAACTCAAAGAAAAACAATAATTTTAA